GGAGATAGTTTTAGTTAGTGTGGAGGGGGGCAAGTGAATGTGTAGTCATCTGGCTATGTCAAAAGAAGCTTCTAAATGTGTTGGTTCTCTAGCAAGTACTTCTTCTTGTACTGTATGCATGGCTATGTTAATTAAAAAGGTCAGTGACAATTCTTGTGAGGATGTGATCTATTTATATTTCGTAAGAGTGTGTGTAAAAAACAAGCTTGATAAAACTGAACTACCTTGTGCAGTCAAATTAAGAAAACCCTAAACAGTAACCAATAGGAAACTCTATGAATTGTTATAGGATGTGTTTCTAAGACCTGTCTATTTATTTTTAGGTAAAAAAAAATATATAGCTATATCATGAACATTTGAGAAAAATCAAGGTAAATTTTCATGCATGGTAATCAGGCCTTTAATGACAATCATATCAAATATATTTTTCTGTGATAAGAAGGAATCTACTCATTTCCTTTGCAAGTACAATCAACAATCTTGATGTGATATGGGTAGGCTTGGAATTATATCAGAGAAGTATATGGGTAAATTATAATGAAATAAAAAAACACTCCAGAATGTATAAAAACACCACAAAAATTGCTTAGAATTGGCAAATGAAATTACAGACGTGATCACCATTATTAAAAATCTATAGGCAGAATTGCCAACTTTTGAAGAACCAATCTTCCATTAAAGTCTACTGGTGTGCATGCCACCATAAGCCCAACCTAAACCCTTACCATAGGAATATGACCTTGTATACACACTTATCCCCCTAGCTAAGATTGGGTATATAGGCAGCCGGGACCCCTATGTTTGTTTAAAAGTATATGCAAACCATATATTGCATATCAAAGGGTCTATTTCACTGTAATTGATAGAAACCAAAGTCTTGGTAGAAATGTTATCACATTGTGGCAAATGATTTCAGACAGTGATGCCTCACTACATTGTGAGTCCATCTCAGTCACTGGGATTAGATCTTGTGTGCATTACTGGGATCCATAATATTGTTTAGGTATGGGACGATATTCATTAATGAGTACCCATCCTCATCTGACGTTATTGAATATTTTACCACATTTTAATTTTTATTTTTATTGAATATCATTTTCAAGATGTAGTGCACACTAACTTTTTATTTTTATTTTTTCTATTGTTATAGGTCCAATAAACAAATGAATTTGTTAATTGTTTATCATTGGGTGATTGGAGGTTGAAGTGACTGTTGTAGATAAAGTGGTCTTGGATCATATCAACAAAGCATAGAAAAGGATTGTGTGAAAATAAAGAAAAGATAAGGTAATCAGAATATAATTATATTCAAAAGTAATCTGCAGAAGGCAAATGGAAGGCTGCAATCATTAAACAAATTATTTTCATGTAAACTTGTGTGTGGAGTCAAGGCATTCTGTGGCTATGGTAGAGCTTGTCAACTTCCAAGTTGATTTGTCATCTAATAAGTTCAACGTCTGAATATATGTAAGGAAGATTTGTTAACCTTCTTTTGAGCTCGGTGTAAAACCCACAGTTGTGCTTATCATGGTCTATTCCAAATAATTATGCAGTTATGTAGAACATAGCCATTATGATTGAGAAAGAAAACACTTCATATAGAAAATTTATAACCATTTATCTCACTTGGAATAAACATTTTAATTTGTTAGCATCTGCAATAGGAAATAACCTATAAAATGGTTGCAGGATATCTAAGGAAAGAGAGTGAGGCACAGGTTAGGGTAGATCTGAATGTGGAAAGTATAAATCAATGTCTCAAGATGATTATTGCATTGAAAAGTCTATGGGGACATAGCACATTACTTCCATTTTGGTTCAGTTGTGTACCACTCGAGTGTCTTTAACTTGCCAGGTGTTGGTGCATCTGTGACCAAACCATAGATATTACAGGACAGTAGTGTCCAAAGTTCTATTGGCTTTTAATGGGACAGCTTGAATTGTAAAACGTCCCAAAGCTGACAAAGGTGTCCCATCTCCCTCTCTTAGAGAAAACCAATTTAAAAGCTAATTTGTTAGAGTCAGAGACAGTAATGCTTAATCAGATGTTGGCTATAACGAATTGTGAAGCTGGGAGTTTTTTATTTACCTTGATAATTTATAAATATTTATTTGTGATTGGCAATGTATTGATGAAATGATAGTCCCACAAAATAATAACAGACATGAAAGTTGATAATTTGATTGCAAAATTTACTGACTACATTAACCCATTGGATCCAGTTGCGTCACGGCAATCACATGGCCGAAAGTAATAGTATTAGTTTTATGTAAGTTAGGGCTCTGCTGTGTGTGTGGCACTTAGGCTAGGCGCACATAAATGTGTGTGCAGTGTCAAGACTTTATGCCTCCCCTTTCCAAAGTTATTTTGGGTGAACGTTTTTAGCTCTCTTCCCATTTCACAGATGGTAATGAAGTGTGCAACATTTTTTTTGAGCCATATATTATATTTTACATAATTTTCAACTTTCCATAATACAATCTGCACTGTCAGTCAAGGCAGTCAGGAATATGATGCTGAGCATGGAAATGGTGTCTTAGATCTGGTGCTCTTCCAGTCATGGCTTATATACATTATATTCCACACTTTTTTATTGATGGGAATAATGCAAAAGCCCCCTTCTAAATGCCAAATGAATAATCACACTCCAGGAGGTTTGTGCTTTATGGTGAGTCTTTTGTCACCCTGGCCTTCACTCATGAAGGTCGCTGGCCTGTGGCCATTTTGTCCCATGACACCCGGCCATTGACCCAAATTTTTCCATGACAGGATGGTCACGTCACCCGGAACAAAGGGGTTAAGATTTTACTCAATAATTGCTGTATTTAATGTTGATAAGGGGCCTGTAACTTGAGGTTGGTGGTATGCATTGTCAGGTTCCCTTGGCTCATTCAGTATTAGGCACCTAATCACTTATAATTTGACTTTAAATATTTAAATATTTTAAGTACCATTTTCCAAGTGTGATGCTAAGAGTTGATAGAAGTACTTTTGGAGAAATAAAAGCTCCCTCCACAATCTCATTATGTTTGTATGTTGTGTTTGGCCACTATTTGCTTGTGGCTAACCCACCCATCTCTGTAAAGGAATTGGGAATTGGGAGCCTTTGTCATAACCTTAGTAACTTGTTAGGATGGGAGGATGTCTAGATCCAAGTGCACATCAGGCACACTGACAGCATTAAGTAGTTACACTGTTTTACCCCTCTGATATTATCCTGTACATTGACTAATAGCCCATTAACAATTAACAATAGCAATTGTCTGAAACAGGACTTATCACTCTTAAGATAGAGTTCTTGATTATCTGGTTAGGAAGTAATCATAGGTACATAGGCTTTCTTGGTTAAGGGAAGTGGATGAAATAACTCATAATATGGAAACAATTTTTGAACTTCAATTCTTTCAGCTCAGTTTTTTCAAGTTTTACCAATGAAAATTATGGTTCATATTTCTAGTGCTTAAAGATTTATTTTTCAGTATTGCATAGCAGTGCAGGGTCAAAAATTACTACAGTTACCTCCCCTTCATGAATAAAGATAGGAAAATAGAAAGGAAATTATTAAACAACATGTATATGAAACAGAATATTGTTTAAATATATTAGAGAAATAAAGTAAGATACTGAGACGTGGTGATATTGACATGTATAATATATATTGTGGATGGGGAGGGGGGTGTTAGACATATGAGATAAGGCTAGAATTACATGTCCAAAAATTTGGTTTTTGGACATGCACAATACAAGGGAAACATGATGTGGGATTAGAATTAGTGGAATAATCAACTTTATGGTAGATTCATTTAAAAAAACACCTTGGCATATGATCTGGGAAGGTGCTTTGGAAGGACTTTATTTTTTGGATTATGAGTCTGTCCATGAAAAAAATCTTAGAATTCATCAATTTGTCAGTATCTTATACTGTAATCATATCTAGACATAAACAGCAGTAAACTCTATTAGTCACTGAATGATCTGTACAGTGTTACTGGTTTACAATAGGTCTATTGCTAATTGAGATAAATGAGTTGCCTTGCCACTTATGCTCAGAAACCAGGAGCAGCAAATTCCTTCTTGTATAGAATGTCCAGTTGTGTCAGGTCAGTAAATACAACTCAGCTAGGTGTGAATACCTCAGATTAGACTTCGAGCTTCATGATCTCTGATTTAGGTTACCTGTGGGCAGGAAGGGATGTGAATGGTTTGTTGGCCTTGATATAATTTTAGCTCTGTATGCACTAGTAAAGCTGCCAGAGGCTGTGCCATATGAGGATTCTTAATGCCATGAGACTTCTTGGCATTCTTTTGCCAAGAAGCACTAAGCCCATCTATCAATTGTTCATGCTACACAGTTGAGCCTGCACTTTTTTGTACATACGTGTTCAGCTTAGTTTCTTTTCATTTACTTACATCGAAAAATTGTATTTGACATTGCCAAATTGACACACATTAAGGGAAACATATAATTTCTTTGCTTTTCTAACCTAATACTCCTTTTATCACCTTAGTCATTGGAGATAACTGTATTCATCATCTCTTCCCTTGTCCCCCTTTTCTAAGCTTTAGGTCTGAATTTGTATAGAAAATTGAGATTTTTTCTTGTAATAGTCAAGGTCACCTAGAATATAAGTAGAATATGACAGGTACAGAAGTTAAGCTTTAAATATGGTATGGTTGATAAGATAATTTGGAAAATTAAATAGTAAAGGTGTTACAGAAATGCAGTAGCTTTAGAGTTACATATTTCTGTGTGTCTGTACTTTCCTCCCCTTTTGTCGAGGTCTGAAGATCCTCTTCATCCTCTTCTATTGTTTCTGCACAAAAGTTTATATGAAGATGGGAATTATTTATGGGAGAACAAGTAATAAATGTAGCTGAATGTACAGGTACATACTTTATCAACCTGTTATGTAGTTTTGATTGCAGGTATTTTAACCTACTACCCTTTTTTCTGTGTACTTGAAATGTGTATTAATATATTACTGTTTGTCTATTCCAGGATGTCGGTGCATTACAAATTTAAGTCAGCTGTCGAGTATGACACGCTGCCAGTGGATGGAGTCCACATCAGCCTAGGTGACCTCAAAGAGGCCATTATCCAACAGAAGAGGCTGGGAAGAGGACAGCCATATGATCTACAGATCACCAATGCAGAGACCAAGGAAGGTAAGCACATTTTAAAAATTATGTTCCTTATTTTATTTATTTGTTTATTTAATTGTCTACCAAATTTTTGTAGTCTAACTTTGTCGTGTTGTGAAGTGCCTCATAACCCATTCGAACCAGGTGCCTTGCTGCCCACATGTGGCTCAAAATGGGCATTAGACTAATTTTAGTGGCAACTCAGCAGTTTATAGCCTGTAGGCTTAGCCCAGGCAAACACTCTGTGGGATCAAGACTCTTTGCCTCCCCTTTGCCATATTTTTCTCTCTCTCTGCTTAAGCATTTTTTGCTTTACCCTTTTCTAAGCTCTTTTGTAATTTTATCTGCAGTTTCAAGATGATAGACTATTTTCCATGCACAGATGCCATATCTTATCTCTAAGTAGTCTACAGCTTTGTGCAATAATAATAACAATTAGTAACATTTTGTTATTTATGTCTTTTTAAGAATATTTTGGTATTCAATTTTCTGAAACTCCCTGTGCTGCTGGTAATGGCAAGCAGGAATAAGATCCTGACCATGGAAATAATGTTGGAATTATGCAAGACCCCATCTTAAATGTCCACTGAGTATAATCTTCCAAGAGCATTGTGTACTTATGGCAAGTCATTACCTTCTCTTCGGCCTTCAACCAAATATTTCATGTCGCTACATTCCCAGCTTTTCTTTAGAGTATATGGGGAGGTGTGTGGGACTAGCATGTCCTTTGGTGATATTTGTATGAGAAGTGGACTTTGACATACCTCATTTTATATTTGATTTGGTAGATTTTCAAGCAATCAGACTGTCGTCTTTCTGCGGTCTGGACATAATTCTTGTAGTATTTGTTTAGATTGTTGAAAGCAGAGAAAAATGTCTCCAAATGATAATCTCCCTTAGGATTCAAGTTTGTGGTGGAAAAAGTCAAGTTGTCAACATAACATTGGGTGTGTATACTTGCTGAATATTACTTAACACTGAGTGTGAAGATGCTCTGATGTTTAACCCATTGGATTCTGTAGCATCACAGCAATCACAGGTCTGAAAATATGAGCAGTGGCATGCGTAAGTGGCTGCTCTCCTGGGTGTGTGGTGTGCAGGCTAGGCGTATGGTAACACTCATGTGCGGTGACAAGACTCTGTGCCTCCCCTTTGCAAAGATATGTTGCATAAGCTTTTTAGCTTTTTTGCCATTGGCCATGTTTGTTTGTTTTATCCAGATGATAATAAATTATTTTCCTTGCGCAGACTCCATAGCACCTCGAGATGTATTGAATAACTTGGTAAAAAAAAAAAAAAAAAATAAAAATAAATAAATAAATAGATAAATAAAATTGTTTTTGTCATATATTTTTTTACATAGTTCTTATATTTCTGTAATACAACCAGCTCCACCGGTCATAGTAGCCAGGAATACAATGCATGGAAATGGCATCCTCCATGGAGCCAGTGCTCTTAGTCATGGCTTAGACACATAGCATTCCACACTCATTTATCGATAGGAATAATATAAAAGCTCTCCTCTATAAGCCAGATGAATTAAATCATACTCCAAGAGGTTTGTGCATTCATGGTCAGTCTTTTTTGTCACCCTGGCCTTTGCACATAACAGCAAGTTAGTGTCACCTGGCCCCTGGCCATTTTCTCGGATGGTGGCACTGTCATGTCTCCTGGATCACGGGTTAAGATTCAAATTAAGGGTGGAAAAAGTAAAAATGGCAACATGACATTGGGTGTGCATACTTCCTGCATGTTACTTTACACTGAATGTATTTTCAACCATTCACATTCTATCACATTATAGTGAAAGATGCTATGATATTTAATCATGCCATGAGGCTGCTTTGTGATGGCTGGGTTGATGTGCCCAGCCACCAGCTTGGACACAGAGCAGTGTGTTCAAGTGTACCTGGCCTTGCTAGATTTTAGCCTAAATATTTCCCATTGTAAAGGTAATACAAATACAGCTAAAGCAAGTGGATAGATTGTGACCTCACCTGATCTTATCTCTCCTTAGGAATTGGGAAAAAATGTATTTTTACAAATGCTAGCAGTATGGATGCTATTATTTTTTATATAGACATTATGATTATTAAAGTGTTAATAGCATTACTAATAGCAGTATATGTTGACATACTTCTAAAAATCAAGGAAAAGAAGAAACAGGTGAGATAGTACTGATAATTGACTCATTGGTGACTAAGCACTGAGGAGCCACATGTGTGTTAAGACAATTGTGAACTACTCACATTAGGTATGGCATGTACATGCATACCATCCCAATCAGGATTGGGTTTAGGGAAGATAGAGGAAACCTATGGAAAATTGCTACTTATATTTTCTACAAGACTTTATACTTTCAATTATTCAATATGTTTTAATGACTATTTGCTTTCTTTGCAGTTTACACAGATGAGAAGACGCTCATCCCAAAGAATTCATCGCTGATAGTCGCAAGAGTGCCCATCGATCCCGCACTCATGAAGAAGCCATGGTAGGTCTCTTGCTGGTAATTAGTATATATTATTGAAATGAAAAATATAGATTTTTTTAAATGCCAAAAGAACATGAAGATAAATGAAAAATTATCTTTCAGTTCTCTTTGGAGTAAAGCTTTTGACTCGCAACTTCCTAGTACTTTAGAGAAAATCTTAACTGAATTCATAATTTTTTTTTCAACAGGGAGAACAAGGAACCGACAGCCCTACTACTATCCAACCCTTCAAACCTGATGAACGTATGTAACAGTGGATCAGCTGTGCAACTTACTTTACCTCCAGCCGGGTAACACCTATTTATCTAGTTTTTAAGTGGATGACTATTGGAGTGAAAAGGCTGAAGCAGAAGCGCTATCACAAGTGCTGCTGGCCACACTCTTAAGATACCGTGGTGTCCCTTCGTGGTGTCACCTTGGTTGTATACTATTTGAGGACAGTATGAAGCTGTCCTCATACATACATCCAAAATACCTTTTTTCCAGTATTTCATAATATTGATTATTATTATTTTTTTAACTTTTATTATTATTTCTCTCTGTAGACTTTTGATAACTTTTCCCCTCCCCATGGGTTGTTATTGCAACAAATTTGTTCTTGTAAACTGTGTAGTAATTTGTCACTTAATTTTACACACTGGATAACTAACCAAAAAATTAAATAATCCTGTGTGTAAAGTTGAGGTAGACATAATATTTTCGATTTTTATCAGTTACCTTACTTCGTAGCAGCCAAGGAACATACATTTCTGAGAATGGATATTGAAATATTGAAATGGATGAAGATATTTATTTGTCATGAACAGTGAATTGACCATGATTTTTTGTCATGTCTAATAAGTATTTATATTCCTGTATGTTTTGTATGATGTAGCCAATAAAACTTTAACCTGAGGTGTCTGCTATTTGGTCGAACATTGTTGTTCTCTTTGGGTTAAAGCTTTGAAACCCTATTATTTTGCAAATTTTAAACATACACATGCCATAGCAAGTTGTGGTTATGACGCCCAAGGAATATTGCTTGCCACAGTTACACTTTCAAACTACAAATGCTTATTGGATTACATATATTTTGGACACACTGCACTGTGTTACACCTAGATCAGGGATATTCTAAGAAGCCTGAACATAAAGAACCTATGATGCCTTGTTGTATGTTGTAAAGAAAGATAATCATCCTGTGCCATTGTGTGGAGTTGAATATGAATAATATTGTTCACTGTTGTGTTGTCTTCAACAAAGGCTTCCGCAGTGCTGAGATCATTTTCTAAATTATTTATGATGTTGATACTTGAAAACTGCCATCCATTTTTACAGAGGGTACTGGTACTACATGACAAATTACAGGTTTTCATGTTTGAAATGGGGTTTTATTTAATTGTTTATTTATTTTTCTGTTTTATTTTTTGTCAATTTTGATCAGTTTATTGACTGAAGTTATGAAAAGAAGTACATATACCTTGTGACGTATGAGATTTATTGAAAAATGTTTGTGATTGAAGAAAATTGTCATTGTCATTGAAGAAAATTTGTAAATATTAGTGATGTTTCTTGTTTAAAGGTTAGTTTCTTGAATTATAGTTGATATATTTTTGAATGAATTACAAGAATCTTGATGATTTCATGGTTTTCTACAACCTAACTATTTTTATACAATTGCCGCAACGAATATGAATTTCACTTACATGTGATTTGTTTTCCATATGGCAACTGTGAAACTGATAAGCTTTTATAAAGAAAAAATGTATAGACATTTAATGAGTCATTATGGCAGTAGGAACTGTGCTTTTCCTTTAGTATTTTACACAATATTAATACCAAGTAAAATTGTTTGAACTAACTGATGTCGAGACAGGGTAATGAAAGAAGTTATCAAGAAAAAAAAGTGGAATATTCCACCTTGAGCTTAGGTTTTTGACCTGTTGTACAAAAGAAAGAAAATATGATAATGGAAGCAGAATGAAGCAGATATCAAACATTTATTTTGTCCATTTATCAGTGTTTGATATAAATATATTCTTGCAGTTAAAACCAGAGCATTGAAGGTAAATATTTCACATAGAAAATTAATATTAAAGAAACATAGAGAAAGAAAAAAGAAAAAAAAAACAGGCAGGGGGGGAGTATGCCTTTTACTGCATTCAGAAAATCTTTAGTCTTTGATGATTATACAGTTCATTATCTAAGGCCTGGGTTAATTTCACTTTTTTATTCAGAGGTGAAATAAGTTTAACTTTTTTAAACCTTGCAAGAACCATAGGGCTTGTTAATTTTGTTTTAGTGCCCCCACAAAAAAGAGAGAAGAAAAAAAAGAAGGAAAGAAATAAATGAGGTTTAGAAGTGTACATAATTTTATTTTGTTACTTTTCCTGCTTGCCAGACTCAACGGGTTCTAATTTTCATCTCTCCTCTCACCTCTTTTCTCTTTCCTCTCTCTTCTCCTCTTTTCTCCTTCCTCTCTCTTCTCCTCTTCTCTCTCTCCTCTCTCTCTCTCTCTCCTCTCTTCTCCTCTTCTCTTCTCTCCTCTTTTCTCTCCTCTCCTCTCTCTTCTCCTCTTCTCTTCTCTCCTCTCTTCTCCTCTCTCTCTCTCTCTCTCTCTCTCTCTCTTCTCTCTCTCTCTCTCTCTCTCTCTCTCTCTCTCTCTTCTCTCTTCTCTCCTCTCCTCTCTTTCTTCTTCTCTCTCTCCTCTCTCCTTCCCTCTCCCTATCCCTATCCCTTTCTGCTCTTCCCTCATTTCCTTCTCACTCTTACTCTCAATTACTGTTTGCTGCAAAATTCCCACAATTGAATGAGGATGATTTTACTTACCTTTTTAGTTGTGTGGATAAATGAACCCAGAAACCTTTTTAGTTGTGTGGATAAATGAACCCAGAATAAGTCAATGGGGTGGTGGGAGATATAACTGAATCTTGTATTTGATTTTTTAAAATTATTATTTATTCATTTTCATTTATTTATTTATTATAAAGCTGAGTGTATTGTTAGTGAAAGTTTATCATTATTTGGGGATGAAATGACATTTGAAAATACGGAAATGAGTTAGCCATTGAACAGAATTTGTTTTTTGCTCCAACCTATATGTAGAGGAGGCTATGAATTACTGGGGTATAAGATGAAGGTTGTTCCAACTTGAGGCCTACTAATGACCTTGAAGCTGCTATACTATCAGAAGGACCGGTACAATTACAGACCGTGCAAGTTTAAATGTTTGTGTGTGTGTAAATGTGTGTGTGTGTGTGTGTGTGTGTGTGTGTGTGTGTGTGTGTGTGTGTGTGTGTGTGTGTGTGTGTGTGTGTGTGTGTGTGTGTGTGTGTGTTGTGTGTGTGTGACAGACAGACAGACAGACAGACAGACAGACAGACAGACAGACAGACAGACAGACAGACAGACAGACAGACAGACAGACAGACAGACACACAGACAGACAGA